GGAGTTTCTGTTTCCTGTCACCGGCCGGACTGACAGGAAGTGCACACTCAGTGTGCCTCTTCCTATCACTCCGGCCGGCCGGCCACCGCGGACCGGAGTGCAGCTCGGCCACGCTACAGGGGAGGGAGGGGAGGGGAGAAGCTGCAGCCGCCTGAGGCTCTTAACAGAGCGCTCGGGCGGCTGCAGTATTTAAAGGGCCGGCCCAGGAACGCGGCCGGCCCCCAGGTGCCGCGGCCCACCGGGAAATTTCCCGGTATCCCGGTGGGCCAGTCCGGCCCTGATTAATACTACCTGTTCTGTATTCAGCCATGATGTGAAGAAGGATCTGTTGTATATATAAAATGTTTGAATATTAACCAAGGAAAGTTGAGGAAATTCAGTTCTATCAACTCATCTGGATTTCAGTATTCTTCCTAATAGTCTAGGGGGAAAACAGGCTACATATTATATAGACAATGTAATTAAAAAAAAAAGTGTGCTAAAAATTAAACTAAAAATATTCTCTCCTTCATGATTCCTGGAGTTGAGTAGTTGAGAGAGGCTGTACAACATGGATGAAATGGACACAGCGTGGAGAAAGTAAATGCTTCTCCTTTGCTATGTCGGAGCCAGAGGCAATTATAAGTCATTTTTAGCAGAAACCATGGTCCTGCACAATCAGGTGAATTAGGGATCTGGCACCAGCCCTTGGGGCTCAATCGCCCGGTAACCAGCATGAGGGGTGCACACTGCACAGCTCCCCCCTCATGCCAGTCACTACATGTAGCATGGCCATGTCACATATGGCTGTTGACCTCCCCTGTGTAGCATCGCCGTAGAGGATCTTCTGTATCCTCTACCCCAGGGCTGCCCAACAGGTAGATGCCCTGATGTTTTAGAACTACAACTCCCATGATGCTTTGTCATTCGAAAAGCATTCTGAAGGCATGCAAAGCATCATGGGAGTTGTAGTTCTACAACATCTGGGGATCTACCTGTTGGGCAGCCCTGTTCTATCTAGTCTGACAGCAAGCTGCTCGTTGGGAGGAAAAAGATCCTCCACCACAGTCCGCTCGGCTATGCTACACAGGGGAGGTCAGCAGCCACAAAAGGGGATGGGGGAGAGACCACAAAAGGGGGAGGACAGGGGGGCACATGGAGATGCACATTTGGGCTGGGAGGCAAAGAGATTGCATTAGACTGAGGGAGGACAAAGAGGTGCACATAAGAGCTGTGGGACACAAAGAGACACACAGAAAGGCTAAGGGGGAAAGAGACTTACAGAGGGGCTGGGGGAACAAACAGACACACAGAAGGGGATAAAGAGTGCCACATTGTGGCATCGAGGAGGACAAAGAAGCCCACAGAGGGGCTGGGAGGACAAAAATACACAGAGGGACTCTGGGGCAAAGAGACTAACAGTGGGGCTGGGGGGGGTCAAAGAGACAAACAGAGGGGTAGGGAGCTGAGAAATACAAAGAAATACACCAAAAGGCTGGGGGGACAAACAGGCACACTAAGTGTCTGGGGAGAATAACAGACCCATAAAGGTACTCTGGAAAAAGAAACACACAAAGGGGCTGTGGGGGAGAATGAGCACAAGGTGGGCAATTTTTTTGGGGGGGAGGGATTGGGGGGGCAAGTAAATGATCTTGCCTAGGGCACAAAATAGTCTTACACCAACCCTGCACACAACAAACTTTGCAATTATGAAGTTATCATAGTGATTAGCATGCCGTAGTCCCCAGACCTAGCCCAACTGTCAAACTGTTTAAGAACAGATTGTCGATTGCATGTCTCTGTCAGTCACAATTTAAAACTTGAGAATGAGGAAATGTTCACTGGTGTGGATAATAAGAGGGAGAAAAGAGTTCCTTTAAATTCATTGCATTTGGAAGTTTAGTGGTGAATAGTATGAGTCAGGTCAGATGATCCCCTTTGACTACTAGAGAGGTATGTCGCAAGGAGAGGGTTACCAGTCAATGTCCCTGTCATGTATCACAAGCTGTCTGTCCTGCACTGGATGCTCAAAGGTAATCACATTGGGGTCCAACATTTGGGCAAAAAAATTTTTTTATTAAATTATTCTTTAGCTATAGTACTGTATATCCAGTCCATTCAAAAAACGCATTTTATATATAATGCAGAAAAAATATGCAAGAGATAAAATATTTAATATAAATAAAGAAATTGAAGATACCTTTAAAGAAACAATAGTTAGCCAAGAGAATTTACCGGAGCCTTTTATTTGATTCTATGGGGAGGGGAGGTGGGGTGCATCCCTTGAAGCCTTTTCCAGTAGAGCTAGAGACAATTGTAGTTCAGTTTATTGGCAATCATTATTTCTTACTGGCTAGTATCCTGAATGTTACCATTTCTTTCTGTTAACGTTCTCGTTTCCACCAATGGGAACCAAAGTTTGCCTCCAATTCAAACATTGTTTCAAAGCAATTATTTGGGCATTTTTTTCACTAAACAGGGAATTATGGAGAAGAAAAGAAAAGGAAATGGAGATTTTAGATAAAAATTACCACATTTGCAGTTTCCAGTTTGGCTAACCTGGGCTGAAATTTGCATTTTACCTGACTATTCCCCACAATCTAGGCTTGCTTGTTTTCTGGGCTATAAATATCACAATGTGTAATTGTTGCAGTGCACTCAACATGGTGAGATTACTTGGGACACAACTTGTGCGGTCTTGCGGTCACAGAAAATATTCTCTTATAATGGGCTCAAAATTATCACCAGGCAGAGCTAGCGCAATAAGGGTCATTAATTCATGATCTATTATCATTACCATGAGGACAGTGCTAGGACAGGACAGACTGTGACTTGTCTGTAGTATAATATTTTATTTTTATTATGTAGAAAGTGGTTTAAAAATGCTAAACTTTAATGTTAAAATCGCAATTAGCTGAAGGGGAATATTTATTGGTATTAAACGGTAGGAAAGTCTATTCCCTCAATAATCCAAATGCATATTTAACAGAAACCTCTATTAGCCTCCATTATTAGGCTGCGTTCCAAGTGTCATTTACTATTTGCATATCACAGTGTTTAATGAGCCTATTTTACTGTGTTTAATTTCCCAGGACCATTCCTAACATACATCAATACATCTCGTACAACACACAGGGAAGATCTGCTGTGGAGTTAAATGGCATGGAAATAACACTGACAGTAAGTCTTTAATAGTTAATCAATTATGAACTCAGAATACAGTGCTTGCATTGTTTAGGTATTCACCCCATACTGAACACTGAGGGGAGGGGACGGAGATAAAGTAATTACAATTAAAAGCAGTTAATAAAACCATAACTGGGATTGATGCTTGTCGTGAACTTTGACCCTCTACCTAAATTGCGTGTCCACACAAACATCCATTTAGCAAACATACAATGAAAACATCAATTAAAAAATGCACTTGACTATGTACATTGGACAGTTTGGCAATGCATTTCCATGTTCTATAAACCTCTGCAGATTGTCTTAGATTTGTCTTAATTTACAGATTTTATATATATACATACACACACACACACGTGGGGACAGTTTTATATCAGCTGCAAAAAAATTTAATATGTACATTACTGAGATACTGAATAATGTAAATTTTTTTGTAGTATAGTTATTGTGACTTTTGTTAGTTGTTAATGGCATGGGCCTCCTCGGTTAGTGTAAAATAATTTGATACTTATTGCAAGAAGTGGTAGTAGGGGCATTTCCATTTATACATATTTGTTGGCACAGATATGACAATTTGTATTAGGTATCAAGGGCTTTTATCACATCAGGCATACCTGTTCAAAAATAAACTATTTTAATAAAGCACTGTTGTTGTTCGGCGGAAGGCGATTCACCGCAAAATTCCATGCCTTTTCCATTTTCCATGGAAAATTATGTGTCTGCTCTAAGATGACCTTGATACCAGCTCCTGAATCTGTTCTGACTTAGAGAAGAAGAATATAGATCTAGGTATATTATTGTAACTATGAACATACATGCATTCTTTGCATACACAATAAATGTTAAAGAACAAGGCTGTTCTGTGAGCTGTGTTAAGCTGCAAGGTCAATAGTAGCTGGTGCCAGTAACATTTAATATCTACAATGCACGCACTAGCTTTTATAATAAAAACATTTAAATTAAAAAAGTATCTTACCTATTGATTCCAATCCCTATGCCACTGCAACGCCAGATGTAAAAACATATTATCATATCAAACCTAGCTTTTCTCTGAGGATAAAAATAATATTTCTAGCGTAGACGGCGAGGGTCAAAAACAAATGTTCTCTGTGCTTGTGAGGTCTTAACAGATTTTTTAATGTACCCCCAGTGCTTCAAATCCTCACTGTCCCCAATTAGTATTTGCTCCCCATTGACCCCCCTATACCTTAAACTTTATTTAAATATTTAGAGATTTATGGTGCCGGCAACCCATTCCTGGCCCTGTCATCTCCTATTGCTGGCTGCTTTCTCTTGCCCATAGTATGCGATGGTAGAGCACTTTGGACAGAGCGAGGCATTCCCCTAAGCCACGAGCAATGAAAATTAAACTGGGCCAGCGCTCAAAAAGCTTGCAAAGGCAAGATACAGAAGTGAGTATTTTTGGAGAATTTAGTCCCTATTTTGTCTTATGCTTTAAAGAAAAATAGAATGAAAAATGAAGAAAAAAAAAAGAGTTTAAAATACGAAGAGAAAATAATAAAAGAAAGGAAAGTTTGTGGTGATGGTCAAAGATACACTCCAAGTACTATAACTATACCTAAGCTGGAGATTCCACCTCTCTGTAGTGAAGGCTGTGTCCCACATATATTATTATTTCATTATAGCCCCACTGTGGGGGCATGGGAGGGACACTATGTCCCACCCGTCTTATCCTTTCATTATAGCCCCACCGTGGGGGCATGGGGGGGACACTGTGTCCCACCCGTCTTATCATTTCATTATAGCCCCACCGTCGGGGTATGGGGGGATACTGTGTTCCACATGTCTTATTATTTCATTATAGACCACCGTGGGGGCATGGGGGGGACACTGTGTCCCACACGTTTTATTATTTAATTATAGCCCCACCGTGGAGGAATGGGGGGACACTGTGTCCCACACGTCTTATTATTTAATTATAGCCCCACCATGGAGATATGGAGGGGACACTGTGTCCCATACTTATTATTTCTTATTATTTCATTATAGCCCCACCATTAGGGCATGGGGGGGACACTGTGTCCCACACATCTTATTATTTCATTATAGCCCCACCGTGGGGGCATGGGGGAAACTATGTAACCCCACTTTGTTTTTTTCATTAATTGCCTGGAGAGCACTGTGGGGTCAGGGGGTTTGACAGTGATCTATCCACCCTCTGCTCTTTCAATTTGAGCCCCCATGCAATGCTCACAGGTAGGGACACAGAGGGGTGTACATTACTAATGACTGGGCAGCAATAGCTGTCCAATTGCAAGTCTTTTATAACAGTGAGCAGCCACTGGCTGCTTAGTAGAGTCAGACTCACTTCCCACATGTCACATCCTCTGAATGCTTCTTATAGAGAACATTCAATTGGAGGAGCGCAGCACTTGTGGCACACGCATATCTTATCCCCAGTGCTGCTCCATGAGGAGCATTGGACTGGAGAAGAAGGCAAAAAAGAGGCGTCTGCTGAAACAGGAGTCTTGGAGTTGGAAAAAAGTTTTTTTCCTTTTTTTTATTTAATTTAGGAGGACCCTCTAACTTAAACAGTGAGAACATTATAGCATTACAAATATATGTTTGTATTCCTAACTTTATAGTTTCCTTGAACTATTTCCCTGTTGGCTGCTAGTGTCACTAGTGGGCAAATAGGTAACCATGAATCCTGTAGCAACAGGAACATCTCGACAGAATCGCTGATCGACCTAAATTCAGCAGAATCACGATTGCCGAAAGTGATTGTCCAAGTCTAGGCAGAAGCTTGCTTCGGGTAAACGGGAGTGTAGTAGA